GGAGCTGGAAGCTGTGAGAACTGGCGACTTGGTAGTACAACTTTAGTGTGCGACTTTGTAGACAACTTTAGTACATCAGGGAGCACAGACCTTGCACAGGTGGCGCTGTGTTGGTCAAAAGTCCGGAGCCCATGCGTCTGACTGAGGGACACGAGGGACACGCATGGTGGAAAGAACCGGGACACTCCTATAGGTCAAGTTGTTCTTATAGGACACTTCCGCCGCCGGCTGATTCCGGAAACTACTTGTATTCAGAAGCTTCCAGTAGTGGAACTGCTTAAACATGAATGAACTGCATGGAAGCGATTCCAAATGAGTAGTAAGTGCATCGCTAGTAGTAACAAGTGCCTTACTAGTAGTAAACAAGAAGCTATTAGCAACAAGTGCCACCGGTGGCTCATCAGAGATCCGGAGATCAGTTTCAGTCGCCGGCACTGACGTCACACCCTCGATACCGTCGCTCGCTCTCCCTCGCACTTGAACAAGGCGAAAGAAACTGGTGAAGCCTGCCTAATTGGTTCTCTGATTGGGTTCCACACGCCCTTGAGAAGCGCTTATTCATATCCTTCAACTCCAAGCTCTGCTTTCAAATGATCGTTTCCTGTATGGTCCAACATGTGAATTCTTTAGAAGAAGCGACTGAGTCAGAGCGTCGAAACCCTCAGAGTCGCTTCTTATGCAGAATTCTAGAAGTCAGCTTGTCCGTTTCCCGGCCCCAAACCTGAATTATTCAATCCAAGTGCAGCTCGACGAAAAATCACTGAACATATCTAGAACATAATGCATCACAGGACCCCTCCTGTCAGTCTTTTTGAGTTGTTTCGGGACCACTTTACTGACATCTGGATCGACAGAAGGTCCGGAGGCCAGAACACATCGGGCCGGCCTGGCTCTTGCCAATCCACCTGAGAGGGAATTGGATCGGCAGGGCTTACATGCCAGAATCTGAATTCGCCGGGAACACCTGCTAACTTTTTACGGCGGCGTCACAGACTCGGCCACTGCTCATCTTGCCAGTACCGAATGCCACATAAACCATGATGAGATGTCTTTCAAAGGCGTGTGTTGCATGTTTGGCATATATAAGTCTTGCTGGAACACATGCATGAGATCTATTGTATAGCGGCCACTAGACAAGCGTTCTCTCTTCTCGCACAATCCTTCCATTTGTACTTGGCCTTCGTTACGGCTGGGCAATTGGCCCAAGGTCTAAGTGCGCTTCTGAAAAAGATCTTCTCGTTTTCGGTTCAAGTGCTTGCGTAATTGCAGTCCCATATAGCATATCCCGGGGCTGGTAAACACCACCGGACATCTGCATCTGCCCAAGCTGCTTGACGGAAGGAGATCTCATGCTCAAGCCCCTTCAAATCGACCTCGTTTCGCTGTTGACTGGGGATGCTTCTAAATCGGCTTCGAAGACCATTTACCATCTTTTTCATGGTTTCTTCTCCAATTTCCCGCCTCGATGACTTGAACCAACAAAAAGCTATACTTGGTCATCCTAGTAGCGATGGCCTCCACCCTATAGTAGCGATTGACTACTTGGTCTCTTCCAGTGCAACCGGTCGATTCCTTTCGCGATGAGCGAGATGCTGCGTCTCATCGCTCGACTCCCGAATACTGACAGGGTGTGACCACGGATCCGTCGTCTCATCGGTGTGACCACGCGATCAAAAACCGCTGAGTCGCTGGGATCAAAACAAGTCACAAAGATCTGAAAGCCGTGGATGGCATGGTGGCATGGCCGGAAAGAGCGTGACATCCGAATACCAAACAGGACGGTTGTTCAGTTGTTCAAACCATGGGCAGTTGGAGAGAGGGTGGTTGGCACCACGGGAAAAACCGAAGCGACATCCATTTCGATCCCTGCTCACCAAGTTGGGTACCACCCTCCCTGACGCCTTGACCGGCCAAGTCGCTTCGGCCTTCACTTCCTCCACAGCTGCTCGGCCACGCTCCCGGTCGCGCCCGGCAAGAATCACCTGGGCGGAATGCAGGCATCCTGGGAAAATGAGAAGCACTCTTGACCCAGTGCATCCCAGTTTCCACTATATAAGGAACCAGGGATTCTAGGTGTTAGTCTTGGGAACCACTGGTTACCAGCTATAGTGGTAACTGGATGCCCTGGGTGATGCATCAAACTCCACAGCTTCGACACCCTGGTGTGAACGCTCTAAGCGTAGCGAACCTTGTTTCTTTCATAGCCGCGTCCGAGCGATGCCTCCGGTGGAGTCGCGATGCGATCGGAGCCCCGAACGTAGCGAACCTGGTGAAACAAGAACAATTTGGCATACTTTTGAGGACGCAGGAAAGAAATTGAACAGAACATGTTCTACAATCCAAAGGTTTTTTAGCTACTCAAGAGTCTACAATGACCCCTCAAAGACCCAGTCTGACCCATTTTCAAAACCTAGTCCTGAAAGACCCCAGTAAGAGCAGTGGATTGTAAAGGTAGATGATGAACTCTTTCATGAGATCAGTTCTTGACCGATTGGACCGAGTCGTATAAAGGGTCCAGAACATCTTCACTAAGGACCCTGAAACATCAATCCGGTACGGAGGTTCTCCAGGTTGAAACACCTTGACACCCTAAAGCGTTTCCCACCACGGGCGGATTCGGTGGATGCACCACACGGTCGCGACCGCTTCGCCTGCCCACGGTCTTGAGGCCTCCAGAGGTCCTTGGGCCTTCTTCATCAAGTGCACTGCAGCAGCCGTGCCAATACGCCCGCATCCTGTGGGTTCGGCCCAACCCAGCCACTCTTTGGGTCATCAGATCCCGACTTCAAGGAACATGGGAACAACAACAACAACAACAACACCAACAACACCAACAACACCACCACCACCAACAACAACAACAACACCACCAACAACAACAGGTACAGTCCATGTTCGATTTACCTTGAGAACTCCTAGTGCTTTCTTGCTGCAAGAAACACTCGCCTGCCTAGCACGAAAGAATAAGGATGCTCTTCGGTGTCATGCTCTTCAAGGTTTGGGTCAGGGTAGGTTCATCGGTACATCCTCAAAAGTTGGCCCGTCAGTGCGATGAAACTGCACGTGGGCAGAGTGCCTCAAACCATCGTGAATCATCCAGGCAGGATGGTTTGAGGGTCTTTCTGGCGACACTCCAAGAGAAAACATTGTGACGTGGACAGCATGGCCATGCCTGGCCCACTTGGTCTTGGATGACCATTTTCCGCTACAACCAGGTGGTTTTGGCACTTGTTTTAAGATACCTATTTCAGGGAGTGCATGTCGTTCTAAAATCCGCACCCGGGGCCTTTGAAAAACGCCGTCCAAGAGCCACCTTCTACCAAGCATGCACACCTCCGTCTATCCAGCTCTGGGTCAGGCCTGCAAACTGCTTGGACAAGAAACTGATTGGTGTTCTGCTTTGGTAGTGCAGCGATTTATAGGGAGCGATATGGCGTTTGGGCGTTCGCAATAAACATGCGAGTTTACAGTTTGAAGTGCTCAGGCTCACTCTTCGTAATAGAGGGTGTTGAAGGTGCTCACTCAAGTAGGGCATGTCCGGGATCATCTTGTGTTTCATCCTCAAATCCAGACTATAGTTGATCGATTCATTTCTTCATCATTCTCCCCCATTCCGACCAAAGCCAGCCATCTTCATTTCAAGGACGACCATCAAACTCATTGGTCATTTCTGCTATGAAGTCGTGCGGTTTCAGACCCTGATGTGGTGCGACATCCACAATATTCCAAGTGCTCCCTACTTTAGACCAGCCCCCGCTGGGCCACCTCGGCCACCGGATCGAGCGGGCGCACGACCGGTGCGCGGCACGCGCCGGAATTCGCCTCCCAACAGCATCAGCCGCGGGCGCCGCGCTGTGCGCCGCCCTTCCCCCGAAGTCGGGGACGTCGCTGCGCGCCGCGCGCGCCAGCCACGCCGTGGTCTGCGCCCGCCGTGGCTGGAAGACGCGCGACGACTCCGGCCGGTCCTTGGAGATGGCGACAAAAAGAAGTTGGCGGGCGCTGGCTAAGAAAAGGGGACGCGCTTGAAGACTAAGACATTTCATGACATTGCAGGATTGCTGACCTCATTCTGCTGGAGTTGGTGATACAAAAACACTACTCAAGGAGGGAACAAAAACAGGTTGCACTTGTGTTTGGATGTCGAACAAAATGCTCTTCCTGCCTTCATCTGCCTTCCACCGATCTCTTGCTCTTTCGTGATCAAACTGGACATCAACCTTTGCTATGGGGGCGACAGGGCCTGGACTTTCAGTCTCCGCTGAGTCACCGTTGTACCGAGCCACGCGGCGCCCAGCGCCATCACCGCCGCCGGGAGGTGCAGGCGCGCAGCGCGGACGCCGGTGGCCGCGGAGTGGCCGTGCTCTGACGGTCTAACGGCAACCGGGACGGGCGGGGGTCGCTGACTGAGCTGTGCGAAGGCGATGCCCTGCCATGCAAACCAGACGGGTGTATATATAGGACTGGCCTATGTACCGGGGTCTTAATGCCATAGAGATTCCTTGGATTGTCACAAGGCTTTCATGCAAAACAACTGCTGGACAGGTTGGACACGACTAGCACCACCATGTGGTCAAAATACGAAGCCCAAACTCGCTGGGTGTAGCTTCAAGAGCGACGTAGGAGCGACTCCAAAGGCCCTCCGACATGGAGGCAAAACACTTCTTTATATATATAGTGGTGACCTGGCGGTGCCGGCAACCAAAACCATCCAACATGAAATACCCGGTCCAAAATCAAGTATACCCAGAGAATCTCATGTATGGAATATAGTATTATATACATTCCTCATCATTCGTACACATCAAAATCGCTCGAAACCGGTGGTCACGTCCCACGTCTGCGACGGGTCTCGACGGCCACGTCTTGCAACAACACAAGAACAGAAACACCAAAAGGCCCACCAGCCCCACGGAGTGGAGTGAACCTTTGTTTGTTTTTGGTTAAGCAAAACCACCCTAAGCAAAACCGGGCTGCTGTGTATTTTTACATCCAATCTCAAGGTGCAAGAAGAGTGGGATGTCTGATTGATTACTGAAGTTAGGTGAAAAGGGTTACCCAAACTGCTTGAAGACCTCAGATGTTCCGCTCTCTCAAACCTTGCTCTCTCAAACCCTGCTGCCTTTGCCGAGCACCGCGCGGTGCTCCGCCGCGCACGCCGGGCGCGAGGACGCGCGGTGCGCACGCCGTGGGCGCGGTACGGAGCTCCATGGCTTTGGCGGCTGAGAGAGAGGTGCGGTGGGAAGAAACGAAGAAAACAGGTGGATCTATTGAGAAACACACATGGATGGACAAGATAGGTTGAAGGTGATATCCACGGTTATAACAAAGAAAAGGTTGGTAGGTTCTGACAGAGGTTAAGAAAAACCATAGTAAATGTTACAGCAAATGGCTTGCATTGGATAGAAAACGTGCATCTAGCTGCAGAAGAGCTACTGGAGGAGGGATTCACTTGCACCCTTGCAATCACTTGTTCATTCTTGGTGCCAGAACTGGGGTGAAAGGTCTTTGGGTCTGTAGGCATCCAGGTCGAAATCGGTCATCCACCAACGGCTAATCCAGTTTTTGGGTGCCTTTTTGGGGCTCCAAGTAGCGAGAGACTGGAGCGTCACCGTCGACCGATCTCGAGCATCGCCAGCAATGGAAAGGTCCAAGGATTCTTGGGGCAACAAGGGAATCTGTTGTTTTGACGATTCCTCTTTCTTTCTTTCTTTTCTGTTCTGTTCTTTTCTTTTCTTTCTTTCTTTCGTTCTTTCTTTATGTGTTTCTTTGCGTGGAGTCTGTGAAGCCTGAGAATCCTTCTCAGATCAACACAACAAAATCACACGCGTACTTGATGTCACACAATCCCTACAGTCAATGACCTCATTCTACTGGATGTGGACTTACAAAAACATCCAGGTATTACTGGATCTTCAGACTTTTAGGGAATGAATTCTTGGCCTTATTTCAAATCGGCAAAGCTTTGCGGCCGTGACGATCCTCGCTGCGATCCTCGCGTGAGGGATAGAAAATCACACCTCTCAGAAGTATCTAAGCCGCATAAAACAAAAAGTATTGCGAGTCAGACTTGAGTCAACATGTTCAATCCTCACTTTGCGTACTTCCGAACAACAAAACGATTAAGCCAAAAGGCTTGCGGATTTGGATCGAGCGGGCTTACAAAAAAACAGAAGCGACGCACGCGAGATCGCGATGAACGCAAGGGCTCTTAGGACACACTCAACAAGACCCCAAGCACTCCATGTATGGCATGTTACACTCCCGAAAACTGACATGGACCCTGAGAATGGCACCCTCAACGACAGTTTTCCTCTACAAACCAGTTGTGGTACTGTTGATCAGTGATCAGGTGTGTGTTCCTTCAAAACATATCGAACCTCCACCCATCCATGCTTTCGCTCCCTCCCCCGATAATGGGACCCCCGCAAAAAGGAAGCAAACAAACTGAACACCTCGATCAACCAATGGTTTGAAGATTGTTGAGAGTGATAGAGGATCAACATGGAACCACTTCGGTTAGTACCATGTTTTTGCAAAAAACAGTCTTCAGTCTGTGAACTGAAGGCCCAAGTCTTAAGCAACTCTGTATGTTCAGGAAGGCATGCAACATGATCACAGAAATTCTATCCAGAAGGCCAGGTCGTGGCAATTCCCAAGTGGACCCCTCCTTGAACCCACCGTCCACCGTCCTTAGAGCGTCGTGACCCTGACTGAGTTACCCAACATATGGTCCAACATCCAATCAAAACAAAGGGTTGGCAAAACCGGGCTACTTGGGTTGACCAAAAACAATGAACAGAATGATCAGAATGGCCTGCTAAGGAGGTCAACCTACCCTGGCTTGGGGATCCGGGTTTGGATCCACTGCCAAACGGGCCTGTTAGGTATACTCTCTACTCGGCTCTGCCCGCATCCGCCAGGCGCGAATCCCCCGTGTCGCCAAACCTTGCAGAATCAGATGCTCGACGAACTCCAAGCGACTGGCCTAGCAAGAGAGGTTTGGTGTGACCTTTTCTCGAAAAGATCCCCCCCGGCTGCAAGGGAGGATGGGCTGCAAAACAAATATAAATTTGTATAGTCAGTTGAATGCTAAAGATCTGGACACACACTTTTGATGGACTCTTGATCAGCACCAAAACTTGTCAAGATGATATTGATCCGGATCTCGTCTTTGGATCTCTTGCGATTCGCATCCATCTCTACTGCTGCACCTGGTTCTGGCTGGGCTTACGATGCCTCAGAACCATGGTTCTCGGATGTTCTCGGCAGCCAACTGCTGCAGAGTTTCATCTCGAACTCTCCGGCACTTCATCTATGCCCTCGACATCGCACCAGCTGCTCGAACATAGAGGACAAGAACGGTCAACATTGGAAGCATGGTGTCGATTTTTTTCGAGCAGGTTCGAGCAAAATGTCTGTCAGAACACCAAGGATCATGGGAACCCACACTGCCCCCCTCCCCAAGTTACCCCCCCACCATGGAGGCCGGGCAGTCACTTGCGCACTGGGAATTTCGGTCACTTGCGCACTTTGAGTCACTTGCGCACTTGGCATCAAAAATTTAGGTCACTTGCGCACTTACCTGCTTCCTAGCAACGGGTGGTGCCTACTCCACATGCAACTAGTGGGTGGGGGGGGGGTGGGGTGGGGGGGGGTTGCAGTTGCCAACCATACAAAGGGACTCTGAACTGCTGAAAAGATTGCCAAGTTGGACAAGGTCAACATCTTTACACACACACACACGCACACGCACGCACTCACGTTTTGATTGCCTTTCAAAGCATACTTCTGCCATACAAACTCACTTGCGCGCGCAAACTATAATGAGTGGGTTGGGGATCATGCAAAATGTTTCAGCGTGGGTGTGTTGATTGTGTAGTGAATGTGTACAACCAGGACTGGAAGGTGTTTTGACATAACAACAAGATGTCTCTCAGTGTCTTTGGCGCCAATGCTAGGTGACTCTGTTCTGGCAGAGTCATCCAAACCAAAACTGCACCACAAACGCAAGTGTTCCTAGAATGTTCATCACTCCAAAAATTTGGAAAAGTCACAGAGAACACACGTACAAACTCGGTTGTCGATATTCTACAGGATTCTATTCCGTAGTAAGCGTCGTAGTAGTAGTAGTAGCAGTAGTGGCAGTAGTAGTAGTGGCATGCACTACTAGTAGTGGCCGTACGATTGGTGGTAGTAGTAGTAGTAGTACTTATCCGATGTATGATACAGAGGCATCAGTCTTGGGTTTCCCTCATTGGTTTTCAATGTATGCTCAATGGAAGACCTCGGTCTTGGGTTTCCCTCATCGGTTTTCAATGTATGCTCAGTGTAAGACCGACCAACCTAAAGCGTTTCGTGACGACATGTTCGGACAGTGGTCAAATGTCAAGTGTACAAGCGACCATAATTTCAAGTGCACAAGCGACCCAAATTTCAAGTGTACAAGCGACAGCTCGCCCCCCACCAAGTCCGGACACGGGTGGGGGGGTTCACGGAGTCGTGTGACGATAACCTGCACGGCCACGGGCAATCTGACTTGTCCAACTCAGGACGCAAAAGGTCCGAAAACCTGCGAAAGATCCTGTGTTGCGATACCTGCCGTTGGGTTGCAACTCGGTACCGCTTAGGCTTATAAAAGAATCACTGCATGTAAATCATCTCGATTCATAATACAATAGACGAGACACAGGTCAGGTTTAGAACTTGAACAAAAACTAAGACCCCATGCTGATGTTGGCGTTCATCTCTTAAGGTCTGCCCTCCCATGACCGATGATTTCAAACTGCCAGATTCTGGGTGTTCGGATACACCCCAGAGTGAGGCTGCCAAAACGACGAGGACTTCTCGGACTTTCACCATCTCATCCCGTCCCACGTCCGCGACGGAGGGCGCGGCGCGTTCCCGTCGGTCGAACGTAACATCGCGCCTTCTGCGGATGGATCGGAGAACACCTCACCGTCGCGACTGCGTGCTTCGGGTGTTCTCCAAGGAGCCAGGAGATCCCGAGGATTTCTGTGGAGCGAGGGAGTGGCTTTTTCGGTGCTTTCTGGGACTTTAACGAAGAGATGTGCCGGAGTCCGGATCCCAACCACGACCTGCCATGGGACTGCCAGTCCGGACTGCCGAGAAACGGCCAGGGGTGGTTGAAAAGGGGTCAATGGATCGGCATATATGCCATACACCGACAGACCCACAGACGTAATATAGACAAACTATCCCCCAAACGTTAAAAGGCGTGCATGCAAAGCCCCTTCTCCTTCTCCAAATGTTTGTATTATTCCCACACCAGGGGCTCTGACCCAATTTCAGACCGGTGTGGCATCAAGAAGTAGACGAGAATGCCCGAAATCTTCTCATGGGACGAGATGGGACGCTACTGCCGTTGGAATCTGCACTTGTACTGCCGTTTGGAATCAATCAATACTATGGCCATGGCGCTATAGGAGCCTCTAAGATGCTGCATGACTAACATTCAGAACCTGATTCAAGGTCCATCCCCGTGCTAGATGCAAGACAAATGATCCGACTTCTGATGCTGAGCTTCTTGTTGATTGTGTTGCTGTTGCCTTGTCCCATGTTTCGGACAAGAAACACAAACATCTCATCAATCATGCGTCCAACTGCACCATCTCTTTCTCATCCTCTGACGATATGGGCCCTGCCGTAGCACGGTTTCCACGAGAACCCACGCCACACCCTTTTCCAGCACCACCGGGGAGCCAAAACCACCTCTGGAACGGTGAGATTCAATGGATGGATCCAAACACCGCTTTGACTTCGCCACCGAATCTCTTTGCCCCCGTACTTCGAAGACACCAAGATGGCGTAAGGCAGATTGGCCTGTCCGACCGACCGACGTTGAAGAGGCGACAAACGTGGGGATGTCGGCGGTGGAAAAAGACACCACATATGCCTATACCAGCACCCTCCTGGCCAGGCTGTTAGTTGAGGGTTGTTCGACCCTGTCTCAGGTCTCAATTGGTGACCTGTCGGAGGGTCCTGGTATATACATTGCCTATATATACATTGATCCCAGGTCAGCCACCCCAAACGTAACTCTTCCAGCTCCATGCAGTGTTTGGGAGAGCAATTATGCACAAAGAAGGCTTCCGCCACAAAGGCTTCCAAGACCTTGGAGTTGGTTTCCGTGAAGAACAAAAGTCACCCATTTCATGTCAAATCGTTCTGGGGCCCTGACTGAGCTCAAAAAGAGTTCGATCACCAATGGACTGATCTTTACGGTCCCTTTAAAAGGAATCCTCAAAAAGATCCCTTTGAAGAAGCTGGACGGTGGACACATTTTGATGCGCTTCTCAATCTTGGTACCCTTGATACGCTCAGGGCACTGTTGACTGTGCTTCATGCGCTGAAGCAAAAAGGGTTCCTGATTGTTGTCTCTCCCTCCCTCTCTCTCTCGGATTCTGCATCTTCCCAGTGGAGGCCTGACAAATGATCCTCTAACATCCTCTCGGAATTCAGGTCATCCGAGTTCGATTCAAACACACACACACACACACTCCTGGGAATCATGGAAGTGGATTCTACATCCACCCAGACGCGACCCTGGAGCCTCATATCGGAGGGGAAGTCGGACCCGAATCCGGAGGGGTCTGGGGTTTCTCACCAATCCCTGAGGGTGTTCAATGGTTTTCAGGGACCAAGCGCTAGCGTCGCACGCAAGCATTTTCCACATCCGTTCCAACGGATCAAGACATCACCTCTTCACGTGGCCCCACGTCAACAGGAGAGGCTGGATCCCACCCGATCCGTCGAAGAGTTCAAATCTAACATGGATTAGTCTATATGAGTGCTTTTTTAAGCTGCTATACCTCACCCATGTCCTTAAATGCCATGCCCCAAATCAAATTCTACTGCACCATATTTGGCTGCAAAGTTTCTTGGCAAGGTCAACACCTATTCCAACTGAACGACATGAAGCTTAGCTGATTACAACCTGGTCTCCATGGTGTGCTCAAATGGGGCCATGGAGACAACCCGCCCACAGCCTGCAAAGCAGCATAGTTGTACTCCGAGATGAAACGGGGCTGCAGACCCACCACCCTCGACACACGGACGCAACTGTGCGCCATGTTTCAGCCCCAAACTCCGCCAACGCCGGAAGCCGACCTAGTCGGAAGTCTTCCTCCGGAGCAGAACAAAATTCCCAGTGATCAAAATTCATGTGGTGACTCGATTCATGTTTTAGAGTTTTGATGACGTGCAGGGTCTAGACCCGCCGCCACGTATAGCTCTTCAATGTGATCGACCCGACAGCTCTTGAGGTGTTCATCTGAGTACGCGACATGCCGATGGCTTCAGCGCAGATATCGCCGCGAGATTGATGCAGGTATCGACCCGTATACAAATGGACGTGGTCAAACAAACCAGACAAGAAGCAAACAAAGTGGACAAAGATTCTCAGAATCAGAAGGTGCTTGGGGTGGGTGCCAGGGGGGTCTAACCATATCTTCCAGGTCTCATGCGTTTGTCCCACTACACTCCGATATGATCTTCTTGCCAATGTCCCCACTGGACGCAGGGCCACAAGCGTCATGGGGGGTTGTGGAGTACGCGTTACTTAGGCGTTCTTGCCCGTTCCCCCCTCACTACAATCAGTAGTTGGGCGGACAACGGAATGGTATAGCCTTTTGGGGGGGTGAGCGACATGAGTTTCAATAACAATAGACTGGCGATTAGCGTCAAGTGGCAGGCGTTTGTTTTCTCAATTCTTTTCATTCAAATTCTGGTTCTGCCTCCTGCATGTAAGAATGCATGTGATTGTGCCTCCGCGTTTTTGACCCTCGAGGCTGCAGCTTAGGCGTTCTTTGCAAAAACGGGCTGAATTTTCTGCCTAAATGGCGTTGGGCGGAAATTATTGCCTAACGAGGTTCTAGGTATGTCTACATTGACTCCCCGTTCACCACCTTGGCTGTTTCTCGGCCAATTCGCCAGTCCACAAGTGCCTATCCTCAGGTGTCCGAAGTAGACCTATCCTCAGGTGCTGCTCTGGATACACGTGAACGTGGGCTTCATGGCCTGTTTCATTCGAGAAAAATGGTCTTCCATGGGCCGAACCAATCCACTCCCTATCCCTACAGGTCAGCTCGACTCTCAATTCTACTGGAAATTGATGGTACAAGACACTAGTAATACTGACGTTTTCAGTGGAGCAAGGTCAGACTGGACCTGTTGGGCATGATCTTTAAAACTGCAGTCGGCACACATCGCCTTCCGATCACTCCGTGGGGGTGTGGTACCAGCCGCAGTGAGTGCCATGACTTGGTTGAGCCCAAAAAAAACCTCAAACATCCTGTTCTCCATTGTTCTCCTCACCAAACCGCATCCAGACCCATCCTGACCCGCTCCCCAAAAGAGACCTGCAAAAGGGGCTGCTCCAACATTGAGGTGTTCTTTTGACCGAGTCCAGTAGCAACTCTACCCAGACCAGACTGGAAGAGTTTCGCCCTGGAAGGTGAATCATGAAACCTGAAAGCCACTAGTGATCGTAGGGGAAAGCAGTCGGACTCAGGGTGAAAATTCGACCCGAGTCCATAACGGCCTCGAATGCGCCTTTTTCGACTCTTCCAGTCAGTCCCATGGATGAGAAACTCCCCTGCGAGCGAGGAGTTGGTGAACTCGGAAGTGCTGCCAACCAGCGGGTCCAACCAACCAAGCAGCGGCAGCAGCGGGGTCAACATTGGCTTCTTTGGAAGCCGGGAACAAAGGAACGAACTCTTCTCCCGTTGAGCTTCAGGGATTGACCCATCTAAGGACTCACCCATTCCGTTCGCGGTGGTCTTGACCCTTGCAACGGGTGAACATGGGTGAACTGGACCGAAGAAGATCATGTAGCAGTTGCTTCAGGTCCAGGAAGGCGTGTTTGGGATTGGAAAACTCGCATCCCTCACGATCAGCACTCGCATCCCAAACCCAGGTCGGTCGGTCTGGTTGATCGGTGATGTCTCAGTCCACCAGACACAGCTCGGTCCGCTGGCCCCTTTTTCTCGCTCAAATCTTCTGGCGCTTCTTTGGTGAGCTTTGGACCTGACACGATCCAAACACGAGAACACTGAGCAACCGGGATAGAGCAACTGTGCGGGAACACCGCAGTGAGGGGATACTCAGGCACCCATGCAAAGAAGGATCAAAAAGGATGTTGCAATTATCATTGCCAATTGCCAAACGGCCAAACATGTTCAAAATTGAGATGCAAAGCTAGCAAAACAATGGTATATAACTGGTTTTCAGTTGTATAAGATCAAAGTGTCTGACACACCAAGTCTAACATAGCCGCACCATATTTGGCCGGCTAAACATATTGATTTTTGTTGATGGTACCCTATCTGATTTTGTAGAGGACACTTGCAGGGGTATGTCTTTGATGCTTTTAGCTCCACCACCTTCAAATGGATGCCATTGTTGTCACTTGTTGTCCCTTCCCGCCTTTGGTTCAGGCGCCTCGCACGTTTGAGTCCGCAGAAACCAAGCCGCAAAGCGCCTCGAAAAGCGGGATCCCGCAGCCAACCGGATCGGTCTGCCGATCGCCAAGGGATGTCAACATACTGCGCCGCAAAAACCTCTGATACTAACCCCGTACAGCACCACATACCGAACCTGAGGTTTGGTGATTGGAGACTATTTATGTAGGCATGGAGGGCCCCAATACCTTTTGAGAAGGTATGTGGGAACTCCTATTTGGTCAACGTGCCTAATTGATCTTGAACAAAAACACGCAGCCAATTAATAACAACAACACGTCACAACCGAGAATCGCCAGCACAGAAACACAGTTTTGCAAAGATCCTGAACATTATTTGATCTGAATCCTTTCGTTCTGGATTCCACGCCAGGTCACGAATGCACCGCACCGGTGCGGGAAAAAGGCATCCCGCCCGTGTCCTGCTTTCTGCTCGCCTCGCCTCGCGAGCTCGCGAGCTTGGCCGACCCGGCTCTCTGCCCGACCAAGGCGCTGCAAGGAGTCCTCTTTGATATGCCTTCGAAGCGCTTCGAAGAACTTCAAGTACCTGTCGCTCCGCTTGGGGCGACCCGTGCGGTTGTCGCTCCGTGTGGTGACCACTGGGTGGCGGTTCCCCATCGGGCCGTTTGTTGGGCGTGTTGAGCAGACCTTTTGTAGCAGAAGCCCCAGGATCAGGTCCGGAATCAGGTCAACACCTGGTGCGTCAGCTTTCGGACGTGAGAGATGGAGAACTGGTACCATCAACACCGAAATCCGTTCCTGACCTGTTCCTGATCTGTAGAGGGTGATTCATCTCTCCATCACCCAGACGTCCCTGGAGCCCCCCAGAACTTGGGGGTCCGACGGAGAACTTGGAACTTGGGGGTCCGACGGAGCCGCGGACCCCGGAACCCTTCTCCTCTTCCTTTTGGGTCCAACCAACTGAGGATTGGACGCCCTTGGAAGGGGCACTCTGGGAGGATTTTTCATAGGGCAACTCATCGTTGTCCATTTCGTTGGACGATCGGTGATCCTCCGGTGATCCTCCGGTCGTCATCTGTCCACACCAAACGCTCACCAAGTAGAACGAGTCCAGGTCATAGGTATCCAACAACATGCTGTCGCTTGCGGGAGATCCTTGGATGGTGACCGATGATAAAGGGACAATAAGATCTGTCTCTTGACCACTGCTTGGCAGAGCGATACTTCAGCCAGCACAAGCCGACCTCAATGACTATAAGTCAGTAACACATACAAACCGACCTGGCCATGCAGTGGGCAAGTGACAGCCTTCAGGGTGCTGCTGTTCTTGCTTGGCTCGAAAGGTAAAACCGAACCTGAACAATAAGTTCATAAGATATATATATATATACAGTATATAGACGATATAGTCATCTTGCATTACAATGCATTACATATGTAACTTTGCCAACTGTGCATCTAATTGAAAGCATATAGTAGTCTTGCAATGGTACACATGAAATGACACCAATCACCCTCCCAAAAGGTCCATCTCCCCGCCATCCCCGAAGACTCCAGGGTTTCTTGTCCCCACTGACCACAGCTGGGTCACACGTGGAGGTTGTGCTGGGCCAAGAGCATGGTACCCAGCAACTCGTGGACCTGAAGGCGCGTGGCTTGGTCCAATGATGTCTTTTCGGGCATCATAGAGGGGTCGATGCCAGGTTACCCGGGGGTATCTCCTCTAGGATCAACCAAGCCATAAGCCATCGAACAGCTTCTTCCAAGCGACCTTGTTGGAGTCAAGTCCCTATTACAGGCCTGTTTGTGACCTCACACCAGGGGATCAAGCCTGGTCACGAACGGAAGCACCATCTATAGCACCTACAGCTTGGTCAACTCAATCACTGAGGAGACCGCGGACCCAAACGGAACCGCGACCCCAACGGCGCGATCCGCCGCTCAGGAGAGCCACAGCGCCATCGACTCGCGGAGTTGAGTCAAATCGAAGACCACCCACCAGTACACCAAACACTCCAATAATCCCTATGGATCCACTGCTACCTTCTCAGAAGGTAATTGGACCCTCCTGGCGCCTACATAAGTCTCCAATCACCGTGGATCCATAGGGAATGGGACTGGCACATTTGGGCATACATAACATCATCCATGGAGTGTTTGGGTGGCTTCAGGGGAGTTGGCACCCCAACAGTTCATGGGACTGGCATATTTACCGACATTGACCCTTAGTCCCCAGCCCAACGCCGCGCTCATGTAAGCAACATATTCCATACATGGACTGTTTGGGGTATAGTTCCACGTCGGGGTGCTCGAACCAACAGAGGAAGTCGGGGTGCCCCTGAGTGACGAGAAACCACCCCGTTGCGACTCGCGACACATTTGACTTGTGCGTTGCTCTTGGTTGCTGCAGGTGTTTGATCATGTAAGAAGGCCAACCCACGGTGGTCGGAGATCTATCTGTTCAACTAAATTATAGCATTTGTTGGTCAACCATGGCAGTCCACCATGTGTTTGACCAGGATCATCCAAGCGCCTTTTGAAGAAACAGTACAGTACCCCATGCAGTGAGACCTGGATAGCACACGCATATCAAACACATGTGGGACTGATTTGCGAGAAGATGGTGAATCCGGATTTGTTGACATTCCTTTTGCAGTAAATTCGAGTGTGGCAAATGTTCTTCTTCATCCATATGCATGTTTGGAAGAAACGTTTCTTACATGGATGGGTCATAGGAACAAAGGGATCTAACCCCAAACACTCCATGGGACTGCCATATATGCCGATCAGTTGACCCCCATGGCACCACCACCCCTGGCCGTTTCTCGGCAGTCCGGACTGGCAGTCCCTTGGAGTGTTCAGGAACTATTCCATATACTTCTCAGCACAAGAACTTTCGGCTCTCTATCAGCCCTTGGGGCCTGACCCAGGTCGTGTCCCTCGTGTCACGAACGCGATCGTGACGTCAAGAAGCTGCAGCTTGGTGGGAGCCAAGCTCGGACTGGAATGGTGACCTACATGGATGGGTCATACATGGGGTAGTAATATGTGTGTAACTGTTCCATACATGGATGGTCTGGGATCTGTGAAAGGAAAATCTAATTGAAAACACCATGTCGATGTGCCCCTTTTTATCCAGCTACATCTTCAGAAGATACTGAGTTGGAGCCTTCAAACAGCTACTTCAGGCCAAAACGAGGACAGGCCAACCTTCATCGGACTCCCGCCTCGTGAAGATGGTACAAATACGCCCGGGAGTACTGCTTCACCGGGGACCACTCACCTTTTCGCGGCTTACACAGCTGGAATGACGCCAGGGAGTGCGTTGACCCGTCCTTCTTTTCGGGTGTACATGGACATCTGTTCGTCTCATTAAGAGGAAAGGAAATAGAATTGTGCTTAATTGATGGAGGCCATGTGTTTTCTGCTATACATGGAGGTACATGGAACAACGGAGAACCTTCTTGTGGAGAACTGTCGGGTTCTACCCTCTACCTGGAGACACCTGAACTGCTAAACATCTTGTCGTATCGCCACCAGTGATCCAATCCTCTTGGAATAGCTCTCCGCCTGGGGCAGTGAACTGACTGTGCATCCTCTTTTGCAAACGATGAGTGCTCAAACATGCCCATGATCCCATTTGGGAACCCAAGTCCAACGACCGTGGTAGGACACTGGCACCGTTTTTGGCAAGTTTCCCAACGGCATTCAAATCCATGGAGAAAAACATCTATAAAAAGAAATTGTCTTTACTTGTGCAAGTGTAATTTTTTGTTTTCCACAAGAACTCTTGGAAAGATGTCATACCATGGGACCTCGCCCCCAAGCTGGGTGTCCACTGCGGTCACCAGCCCGGCCCAGTCAGACTTGGACAGTCCAACCAACTCAGCTCGGCTACCCGGCTACCCGAGCCGATCTCTACAGTCATCACTCCCCCAATACAAACAGGTGATACCGAGTGATACCAAGTCGTCAGGATACCAAGTGATCCCAGTGATACTGGGATACCAGGTATTACTGCCCCAATACAGTCGTCAGTGATACCAAGTTCTCGACCACTCAATATTAACTTAGATCAACAGTTGCAAACCATGCCCTGCGCTCTCTCTCTGCTGAGTGCCACACTGATAGGCCCAAAGTCCTGCGCAAAATGGGACCATCACGCATGATTTGTTGGATCGGACTGAGTTAAAACATGCTAAAGTATGTTAAAGCTCTATATATTACACTTTTATGGTCATGTGAGGAAGCGTCAAAATTCTTTGTGTGAGTGGTATTCATTGCAGATTAGAGAGTCCCCTATCGTTTTCCATGTTTTGGGATTCACCATTCTTGCTTCACTACACCTATCGTTTTGCATGGTTTGTGCCTCTGTGGAAACCTTCCCCCTCAACCTAAAACAGAATACGAACGAGGAGCAAGCACACATACACACACACAAGAGGCACCAGTGGGTAAGAGAACTTCCCATGAGCATTCATTCGGGTGTTGTGACAAAACCGATGAAAGCATTGCAGACATGCATGTCCATCAGAATTCTGGTCACCGAAACCACATGAGACTATATGCGCACCTCCCTTCCACAGGCAACCCACCTGCCCCCAGCACGATTCTTTTCAGCTATCCTGGGACGTGCCAGAACTGTCGGAACTGGAAGACGACGATTGCGAATCTAAGTCAGCACCTCCTTCCTGCATTTCCTTTCGGGTTCGCGCCCTCTCCTTTAGCTTCAAACTCCGCTGCTTCCGTTTCTCAATGAGGCAACGGTAGTCAGGAGCACCCGTGAACTTTTGGTCAGCTCCATGGGCTAGCAAATGCGCTTGCGCAGTTTACCGCCTGGTCAGCGATGTTTCGTCCGTGCGTCCCAAAGGCTGAACCTCGTGATCCCACCTTCGTCGGCCTTCCTCTGTCCAGAAGCCTCGCCTGTACTCAGGTGAAGCATCCTTGCTGGGAAGCAGAACTGCCTCACTTGAAAGGTTGTTTGCAGCTGCCATGTTCGAAAAGATGTGGTTGAAAATCTTCACCCCCAGTCTGCTGTGCCTGTGAACCGCAGGCGCGCTGGAAACACAGTATGTTCTGGTGATGTGGAAGCCTTTTGCGGTGAGACGGAACCTCTCTGCCACTGGCTGCTTCTTTGACAAAACATCATTGATGACAATCAAAAAGGGCGCAGTGGGGTCCTTTTGCCTCTGTGCCAAGTTCTTCTCCTGCAAGAACTTGCACAAATCAGTGATTTCCACCAAATCCTTTCCTTGCCGTCTTGCATCTTTGACATAGCTTTCAAACAAAGCAAATAGACGGTCAGCTTCACTCTTAAAATGCTTCTCCACTCCATAATGCACGCATACCCGGGCCTTGTGTCTCAAAGGCATAATGCAGCAGTAGTGGTGCAAAGCTTCATAAGACCGAAAATGAGGGCCTGCATCTGAAAGGAGGTGAACCACTTCAACTGGAGCAGTGCCTCTGCGCGACTGGAAAGCTTGCTCAATGCACTGGGATGCACGACATGAAGTGTGATCCAGAATGTCTGACAAGATCAGCACTCTTGTCCACAAAACCTTGCCATCTGCAGCTCGCTCACTGACAATAGACCCGAAAACTGAAATATCCTTTCGCGCGTTGGCGAAAAATTCTTCTCCTGTCTGTGTTGAGCGGATGGGGAGGGTGACGAGTTCCTTGAAATCAGACAAAATGACAACAGCGCCTTCCGGTGGCTCTGCAAGCAACTGAAAAAGCAACGGCTTCTGAAACTCATTTGCGCTTCTGTGAAATAGGTAGCTATCCAGAAGCTTGCTCATGGCTTGCAGCTGCACGCATATGTCGACCTCCTTTGCATGTAGGGTGACTCTCAACCTTTGCGCGAAACCACTGCCCCTCGCTCGCAAGCGACTCAAGCCACAAGGCCATTCAGTTCCCCGATGTTCGCGACATGCCTGTGTCTCCGAGCGGTGGTCGATGTAATGGCGCAGAAGCCGCAAGTGTAGGCCGGGCTTGTCGGCAAGGTGTGCCTGCGCCTCAAACCCATCCCATGGAGCGAAATAAGCGGGCATTAGGGCTTCAAGCTCTTTCCTCACGGTGTCCAAGAGATTCTTCACCTTACCGCTCACAGACGCGCCAGGTGAACAAGAAGCAATGCGACCTCACACACACAACAACAACTACTAAACATGCTTGCAAACAAAGGCACCTGGGGCAGCACTTTCGTCTTCAAGTCATAGCAGTAGATGCAATAGTCGTTGATGCTTTCTGCTCCCTTGTAGTGGCGCAAATGCTTCTTAGCAATTCTCCAGAAGGTCGACAAACTCATGTTTCCTTGAAGGCTGCCCCAATTCTGCCACACAGCCTTCTTGTCTGACGTCAAGGTATTCACCTGACAGCAAAGAAATTTCTCCATGACTCTGTACAAATCAACTGCAAGCTCATACTTCCACGAAAGGTCTTTTTTAATGCAAGCTTAGTGGCAATCATCCATTCCTGCGCGCGTGGGTCCCAAGACAAGCGGCTGCTTGGCTGGGACGTCTCTGCAAAAGCTTTGTCAACCAAGGCTATGAGCTGCTTGTTTTCTGTTTTGTTTGGCCGCCCGCGCTGTCTCTGAGGCTCTTTTTCGACCACGCCCGCTCTTTCCCAACGAGATTTGCCGATTCCATACCCGAACTCTTTTGCCCGAGGCAAGGTGCCACAGAACTCACGGACCATGGTGTCAATGTGGTCACGCACTGACCTGACTCCTTCGGATGGATTTGGCAAATCAAACCCCGGGCTTTTGGAAAGGCGGGAGAGGAAGAAGGTGGAAATCGACTGCAAAGACTCACCTGAAGTAAACAGCCCATCGTTCCCAATCGATGCGCTAAATTTCTGCGCCGCTAGCGGTAAAACATCTGGCCACTTCCCTGACAGCTTCTGGAACACCTGTTGAACCTGCTTCACAGCTTCCTCAGAGCTTGCGCTCTTCTCCAGGCAGCTCAAGAGAGTAGCTCTTTGTCTCCATTTCTGCAATTTGGCGCTAGAGGCGGTCTTCAATATCGCCTTCTTGAGGTGTGCGCCCTTCAGAACTTTTTTTGCCGAGTTCTGACCCTGGGCCTTAGCTTTTGAAGAAGAGGAAGAGGGAGAAGGCTTGGGCACAGGAGCCTGCGACACTGCCTTAGCGGCCTTAGCACGCTCTATGAAATCTGTTCTCTCCTCTCCGCTCAACTCCTTCCATGTCTCTTTCCATACGCAGTCTTCAAGCCAACGGCGCTGCTTTTCTGTGAGGCCTACGGCAGCACTTCCTGCGTGTTTGCCTCTAGGAAGCTGCGCTTGACCAGGGACAGCAGCCCGCGCTCGTTCAACTAATTCATTCCACTCCTCCTTACGCGCCAGCATCTCCCTGATGAGGAGCCGCAGACCCGCCATGACAGCAGCAGACTTTCCCATGGCTATCACAAGACCAGGTTCAAACCCACTGAAACACGTCACCACATTCCGTATCAATGGGCCCCCCTTGCAGAAGGCTGTCCAGATCTACTTCTGGGGTATCGTTTGGGTATCGTTCGGTGTATCGTTTTTTTCACGCGTCCTTCACCCCAAACTGTAGCCTTCTTCGATGTTTGGGCCTTGCGCCCAGCTTTCACCTACAGAGCCGCAAGGCCATACACGCACGAGAGGAATGAGCAAGCGCAAGCTACACGCGCAGTGTCAAGCGAATCGTAAATAGAAGTCTTAGCCCTCCACTTCTCCGCATACCATATTTGACACTGTGGCACGCGGATCCACCGTCCCAGATTGTGATTTCACCAGCAAACATCCACTGTCTTCGTTGGTGCGACGCGATATGTAGCTCAATCCAGCGCCACAGATTCATGTCACTAGCTTTCGTTGGTGCAAGACTGATGGCGCAGGTATGTTGGTAAGCGTCCTTACCTATTGTCTTAGGCACAGCAGGCTCCTTGGCAAACTTGCGCGGACAACCCCCTATAGATGAAACCTTATGTGACCAATCGAAACTGAAGGATCAACCGGGAGGGGCTAACACACACTCACACACACAAACAGGGATGGATGCACAAGTTTTAAACAAAAAACATGTGTGATGCTCCAGCACATCAACTTGCTTTTCCACACAAGCGGCCAGCTTCCCCGCAGGCAGCTAGTGCTTTGAAAGTCGTCTAAACAGGCACTTGCGTCTTCTTATTCAAGCGAGTCTTCGGACCCGTGCAAGAGTGACACTTACAAACATCACCGCCTGAACCATGGAGTGATTCAGCGATCTCAGCCGACTTGGCTTGGATCTTAGCTAAAAGACCTGGAGTATTGGAACATGCTCGGATGTTCCTTCCACATCCTAACTTCAAGCAAGCCCTCACACAACAATAGCACTGGCTTCCTGTCACCACCGTTTTCTGAGGCTTCACATCGGTCACGCGGTACTGCCAAGCGCAGGAGTGCTTCGCACGCTTGCAGAAACAACAGTCGAGAGCCTTGCTGTGCTCTATGCGACCAGGGTTACCCTGCTGGCTCCCAAGCTGGGCTTTCAACCGAGTGAGCCGATGAAAGGTCTCTGGGCTTAATGATCCTGGCGGAGAAGTCTTCTCAGTGGACTCGGGCAATGACAAGGGACGCTTCCTGCAAGTCTTCGTGGGTGTGGCTATGACCTGGTGTGGCACTGCTTTGTCTGAAGCTTCGCTGGTGCAACTGGGTTTGTTTTCGGTCGAAGGGCCCTCCTGCTTCGCATTGCTCACAATGTCCGCAGCGGGCACGGTCTTGAAAATCTCCTCCACAAAGGGTAGCTAAGGTAGAAAAATAGGCCCCCTCCAATCTATGGACCTACACCCTTAAAACCCAAATGCTTCGAAGGTTAATTCAACTTGCCAGCTTTAAAAATGGAGCAGGAAATCTTGAAGACTGGACCTCGGGCCTCCCTGGCCATTTGAAAATGACATGCCCTAACAAGGAATCAAGTGTTTTCTGGGTGCTGATAAGGCACTTTCTCAGGCACCTCTTCCGAAGCAGGTGGGGGGACCATATTGCTGCTGTCATCCTTCACATCCAACTCCGGCAGCTTCAGCGCTGCCTGAAGTCAGCTGGCCAACTTAGAGTATGCTCCCCAGCCTAACTCGCCTACACTGGCTCAACCAATCTCACCCCTTTATAAGTTGTAAAAACTCACATGGACTCATATCACCAATGCCACATCAAAGCCCAGGAGCACGCTTCTGCTCCAAAAAGAACTTCAGCTTTGTGGTGCTTTGCCACCGGTCATCCACGTACACACAGTGATGATGGGATCCCCGGGGTCGCCCGGAAACCGTGAGGTTGAAGTAGCCATCCTGACGCTTGCTTGAAGCTGCGAGGAAATGAAGAAAGTGGCTGTGGATCTGCCCGTGCAATGCGCACTAAGGCCCCTGAAAGAAAGAAACTGGGTAGCCAATCTTTCTGACAAGGTTCGCAACTCGAGAGCCAAGCTTCATGTCGAGAGCTCCAAGCTGCTTTCACCATGCTGCCAGTACATCCTCGCACGCTGCAAGACTTAGGAAGCCCTGCAGGCGGCTCCATCATCAAGTGGCCACACTCACTTTAGAAAAGGTCAAATGGCTGCAGACACACAGAGCTGAGTGACTCAGAGCCACGAACCTTGATTGTATGACCGATACTATATATATATATATATAAAGTGTATTACTGTTCAGAGGGGTATCGTTTTTTAAGAGTCCCCTATCGTTTTTCAAGGAATATTCAAATTCCAAGTCACAAATGAAACCCTCATTACTAAAGTGGTTGTCGTTAATTTCAAAGTTGGCTCATGTCATGAGATGCCATGAGTTTGGAAGAGCAAACCTAGTGAACAAATGGATCCAAATGGTAACTGAACAGTTAAATATTGTCAATATGCTTCAATCCGCCTTTGAACTCCATTTGGTGACCTCACAGTCAAGGGGTTCCACACACAGAAGAATCACACTTGGAGATCCACACTCAATTGAAAAAACTGATGCAAGATCTTTGAGAAACACGGATCATTGAGCGACATGTGGCTGCAATGGGGCATTTGTCAGTAAGAATGCCGTGATCACTCGAGAAGTAAGAACAAACGATTCTCTTTGACGTTTCTGGTAGGAATTTGTGTCGTAACATGATCCTCCAGGACCTTCAAAGTGACCTTTTGAGATCCTAGAATGAGGTCACTTAGTCCCTAAAGAGGTCACTTGCAGACTCCAAAGAGGTCACTTTGAAGGTCCTGGCTAACATGTTGTTTTTCGACGTGGCCTATGGCTTCAAACAATTATAGTATGACTCAATGACCCAAACTCTACTACAATACATCTGTTGAAAGAACCATGAGTACAGGGTCGAGCCAGAACAAAAACAACTGGTGGAGCTATGCTGATGTAATTCCCAAAGATTCTGTCCTGATGCACCGCAAGAACTACTCTCCAGGAAGGTCGTTGGTTTGCAGGGTCAAAATCCTGAGGAACCTGGAGCCCCGACTCTGAGTCTCTTAGAACTCCCAAAGGATTCGCCTGCTGAGCACACCTGCTCTTCAGCGCCAAACAATCCGCCTCCGAACGACGCAGCGACTCCGGCGATCTCCTCCCGACACTCGGGCGATCTCAAGTCCACTTGCCTGGCCACGGGCGAGTCTCGGCGCCAGTTCGGTCGGCGCGAGCGAGTTTGGTGGAACGACTTGGCAGACCAACGGCGTTGGTGTGGTTCCGACATCGGGTTTTGGGTGACGTTCCAAGATCCACGAGTTGTTTTTGTTGGACCATTTCAGGACCCGGAGCATACTGGGGTACCTATATGGGATAGTATAAATCATAGTAGATCTTGGGTTCTTCAACCTCTGTTGGCTAGGTTGCTCGAAGTGGGCGCAAACAATTTCGGGGAAAGGATCTGGCTGCACATTCAGACTCTGGGTCGGGTGTGATGTGTGAAGGGATCTGCATGCTGGATTAAACCACAATGTCTGGGAGAACAACGAGGACGGCGACGACGACCACTAAACCAGCACAGCAACCGTGACGTCACGGTTTCCAATGTAGATGGAGCTCACCTAGAACTCGTGCGTCGATATGGTCATGCCTTGCAAAACATTCCAAGACCTCTGAACCTCGCCTTGCATGCTACCTGTTTTGAAAGGGCTCGGTTTCTCAGCAGCCCACATGGTTTTCTGAGGGCCCCCAGCCTCAATGAATTTGCTTTGCCTACTCACTCTTTTTTGAACTCTTAAACAAACAGCTGACGTGAATATGTCGCAAGGTCCAAGCAACTGGTTTGAATCTGGCAGCATGTTCATTGAACTCAAACCCCTGCTTCAGACGAGTTAAACTTCTTTTTCAGATCCCTCTGCAGATACGAATCCATCTGTGGTTATGGAACCATGGCACATTGACCTCAAAAAAACAACACCCCTGACCGGGCCGTGTCAGCATTTCTAAGGCAGGTTCCCTAAACACTCTTCTCCTGTTTCAACTCCAAAAAGGAGTTCTAAAAAAAAAACACCACGGATTCTGTGTATCCATTCAAGCCCCGAAAAGGAGCTCTTTTCGGGGTGTCCATGTCTACCACCCTCACGGCGCCACGGCGGCAGCCGCACCTCACGGCCTCCGGCACCACGGCAGCCGCGGGAACCGCGGGAGTGCCGTCCGAGGAGCTCTCCGTGGACCTCACCTCCGCCAGGAGCGTCTTTAAGACCTGGAGGAGACGGCGCCGAGACTGACTCGTCTCGCCCTGAGGTTCTGTCTTCCACGCTGGGTAGTGAGGCTCTGTCAAGATCAAACTTAGTTGTCTCCACCACTCAATCAAATATAACATAGAGATTTATAGAGCCTGTATGCAAGTAGAGTAGACTTGTTATGGAGAGGTTAGCATTCTATGTGAGTGTGGTGTACTTTTTTGGCACATCCATTTCATACAGCACAGTATTAAAACACATCTGCATGAGCTCTCAAATGACAAGGACACGATGATACATATTGTGGACATCGTCAGTTATAAGCTCCAGGTAGATCGGGAAAAGTGGTACCCTAGCTACAGGGTATTCAGGCTATGCACAACGGGTTTCACAAACCCATGGATGTGGATGAAGAACACATCTATATCTTTGGGGCTACAAAACTGCGGGCGTTGGATGGTGTGTGCCACGGCCTTCCATTCTTGCTCTTCCATGGCCCCTGGAAGTACAGCATCCATGCTGGCGGTGGTGCTGTGTGAGGTGGCCTGCGCTGCTGGACTTCGCGCGCTATGGCTGCGCGCAGCAGCTGGCTGCCGCCGTAAGCGCTTGTGATTGTGGACATGGCCGGATCAAATTCATTATGTTGGACTCTCCGCCTTTTCTGGTTACTCATGCCCTGCAGCCAGGCCCTGCACCCATGCTGACGCCAAAAGCCAAAGCGCCGACCTTGTGGCTGTGGTGCCATTCCGATCGGGTGCGCGCGGGACCCGTGTCATCTCATATGAAGCAGGCGAGGAAGTCGGACTCAAGGACATACATGGTTCAAGCTAGCTCGGATGGGCTGAAACCTCACAAGTGGAGCTAAACGCCTGGGCGCTTGGTAACTCAAAAGAACACTCGCTTGGGCTTTTGGTTCTTGATCTCTTTGATCAGCTGCCTGCACAGCAAACCCCCATATCATCTTGACTGTATTTTGGCTCAAGTTCTTCCATGTGGCCAAGAGAATCTCCTATACTTATACTTAGCTTGCGTCTGACACTCTTGTGGGTCACTCTTATGGGACACTCTTGTCGGACATTCTTGTGGGACACTCTTATAGGACACTCTTGTGGGTCACTCTTATGGGACACTCTTGTCGGACATTCTGGTGGGACACTCTTGTGAGACACTCTTGCAGGACACTCTTGTGGGGCACTCTTGTGGGACACTCTTGTGGGACACTCTTGTAGGACACTCTTGTGGGACACTCTTGTGGGACACTCTTGTGGGACACTCTGGTGGGACACTCTGGTGACACTCTTGTAGGAAACTCTTATAGGACACTCTTGTCAAACACTCTTGTGGGACACTCTTGTAGGACACTCTTGTAGGACACTCTTGTGGGACACGTGGGACACTCTTGTAGGACACTCTTGTGGGACACTCTTGTGGGACACTCTTGTGGGACACTCTTGTAGGAAACTCTTGTGGGACACTATTGTAGGACACTCTCGTGGGACACTCTAGTAGGACACTCTTGTGGGACACTCTTGTGGGACACTCTTGTGGGACACTCTTGTGGGACACTATTGTGTGATACTCTTGTGGGACACTCCTATAGGACACTCTTGTGGGACACTCTTCTGGGACACTCTTGTAGGGGACTCTTGTGGGACACTCTTGTGGGACACTCTTGTAGGACACTCTTGTAGGACACTCTTGTGGGACACACTTGTGGCACGCTAGAAACATTCCTCCGAGCGTTTCGTACGAGACGTCCTCCAAACTTCGAGGCTGCAAGACGAGCGTTTCGTACGAGACCTCCTCCAAAAGTCACGCGTCAAGTCTCCAAAACGAGCGCTTCGGACGAGACTTCCTCCAAAAGTCACACGTCAAGTCTCCAAAGCGAGCGTTTCGTACGAGACTTCCTCCAAAAGTCACGTGTCAAGTCTCCAAAACGAGCATTTCGCACGAGACTTCCTCCAAAACTCACATGTCAAAGTCTGCAAAACGAGCATTTTGCACGAGACTTCCTCCAAAAGTCAAGCGGAAACACCCATCGGAGCACACACATCACGCTGCCTTGCCAAGCAGTTTCGCGAGTCCAGCCCTCCAAACAATACCCGCTCACACGCCAATCCCAATGTGACAGCGACATTCACCTCTACTATAACGAGTTTTCCACTTGCCATATATATATATATATGTTAAGTTATATCATCCTTAACATATTTTATAA